ATTCAGTGTGTTACCTCAGGAAGGAGAGATGCCAGGTCAGCAGGGAGGCTGGAGCTGTTAGCATGGCTTCCTCTGCAGAGGTTTGGGATCAGACCCACTTACTGGTAGCTCAGAGGTGCAGCTGATCAAAAAGAAAGGCCTTATTCTTCAGTGAAGATGAAGAGAATGTCCTGTTTGAACTCTGTCTGCAAGTGCTGCAGTTGTTAGGGGTTATGTGCTGGATCCCCTCTGAGGATACTAGCTTGATTGCTGCAACTGGTGGTGGAAGTGTCAGTACAGAGTGGGATGCTGGTCCTACCAAAGCTCTCTGTTCTTGCTCAAGCCTTAGAAGCTTGCTCCCCACTTCCAGGGCAGCAGAGATGACCATCATTTTCCTCCTTTAATTCATCTACTAACTGCTTTGCTTTGCTGAAGGAGAGCACATGGGATGCCATGAAGCCCATGGGACACTGCCTGGGCAGGGATTGCATACACAAGCCTGGTAAGTAGTTACTGCTTATAGAGTTTTGGGGAGATACTACACAGCTGCTTTGTCACAGCCACCTCTGTCCAGCTCCTGCTGGAGATGGATACAGGATTGCTCACCCAGGAGCACACAAGCCCTTCAAGCTGCCTAGCTTCTCAGGTAGGAGTCATACTAACTGGTGCCTGCCCTAGGAAGAGCCATGTAAAGATGACAGTGGTTTGTTGAGGGCTTTTTTGATCATGAGTAAGGTCAAGTCTAGCTCAAAATCCTTCATGCAGCACATATATTAGGTTGCACTTGACAGGCTTCAAACCACGACTGCTCCTGCTCTAGGCTGCAGGGAATCCAACCCAGGGGTAGTGTGTTGACCATGCTCTGCCTCTTTCCCCCTTGCTGGGCAGAGCTACAGCCCTTCTTCCAGTTTGAGTTTAGCTCTTATGTGCTGGCCAGACATCTCAGCCAGACAGCAGCAGCTAATGCTGTCTGAGTGGCACAGCACATAATGGCCAGTCCATATATCTTCCAGTCACTGCAGTTCCAGTAAAACATCCCTTTGTTAAATTTCTAGAGCCAAAGAAAGCACCTCCAATGCTATAGAAAGCTGAGCTTATCCCAGGCAGGTCTATGGTCCTCCTGAAAAATGTGCTGTGCTGAAGAGTGCTACAGACCAAATCCTTGCTGCCAACAGCAGACCTCAACTGTCATTTCTGGCTCTTGGTGGAGGTGTTCACCCACACTAGCAGCAGGACTCTACAGGGACAGCCCAAAAAGGCCTAATTCCCCTAGCAGTTACATTTCAGAAAGTGGTTTTCAGCCCCAGTGATCCATTTTTTTCCAGTCTCCACCTCTTACGTGAGCACCTGCATGCTGTTCACAAGTACCAGTGCCCATTTTGTTTCAAGAAATTACTACTGTAATTAGTCATATGAATATTCATATAAGAGATGATGTGGAGTAGGTGTAGCAGGCAGAAGCCACTATTTATAAACGCCTCCTTGCACTAGAATCACTGTGTGCAGACACTGTTCCCATGCCTGTCTCCTTCCCACGCCTTGAAGCTAAAAACCACTTATCAGAGTCTTACAACAAGGCTTCTAAACATCAGATTTCTTTACAGTATTTCTTCCTTTTTTCTGCTACCAAGGTCATTTGCCCAAGAACAGCATCTTTAAGCTTTCCATCTGCTCCTTTTCCCATGCCTGTCTCCTTCCCACGCCTTGAAGCTAAAAACCACTTATCAGAGTCTTACAACAAGGCTTCTAAACATCAGATTTCTTTACAGTATTTCTTCCTTTTTTCTGCTACCAAGGTCATTTGCCCAAGAACAGCATCTTTAAGCTTTCCATCTGCTCCTTATTTTGCACCTGTAGTTAATATCTCTCTTTTTTTTCATAACATATGACTCATTGGCACTGTTACAGGAGGGGATATCTGTTTACAGGAGATCAGTTCCTAAAAGAGCCAGAATTACTCCACTGCACAGAAGGTTTGGAACAAGACAGTACTGCTCTGTTTATCAGCCTCCCCCCAATAGGTAGAAGAAGAGGCCCAGTTCCAGAGTCACCAGCTGGACTTTGCTTTTCAGGCAGGATCCCCACCAACTCTGACTTGCCTCTCACCTTGCCTGCCCAACCAGGAGCAGTTTTCCAGTTATTATGCCCAAGGAGCAGACAAACTCAGCAGCCACATCTCACCACCTGCTGCACACTTTGCTCCTCACAGGCCACCAAGTTTCTTCACTGCATCCCCAGCAAGTTCCTGATCTCCAGTTTGTGAAGGATGGTCCTGATGCCATCTCAGCCCACCCAGACACAGCCTGCTCAGTCTCAACAGCTCCTGCCCATCACTGTGCTCTGTCAGGGCCTGGGCGGTATTGCTACCTGAGCTCCCAAGGGAGAGAAGTGCAGAGCAGTGAAGTGCAGACCATCTGCAAGGCCACCTCTCCCACATCTCCAGCAAAAGGACACAGTTCCCCGATGGCTCTGGGAACTGCTAACTGAACAGCTGCTTGCGAGATAAGCGTGTATTTGAGAACAACAACCACCAGGCAAGCAACATCCTCTCCAAGGCC